AAGGTAACAGTCGTTCGTCTTTTGGAAACACTTTAAAGCAGCTTGGTCTCTTAACCACTTCAGACACTTTTACCCCCTTCCTGTCCAGGCCAATTTTCAGCTTTCAGTGCTATCACACTTTTAATGACAATTGCGCGGTATGCAACACTGTACCCATATGAATTTTTTTAGCATTTTTTTGAGACAGATAACGCTTTATTTTGGTGGTATTTATTCACCACTGGGATTTTTATTTTTTTTTTTTTGCTATATAAATGAAAAAGTCCAAAAATTTAGAAAAAAAGTGTTTTTCTTATAAAATTTTGCAAATAAATAATATTTCATCATAAATCTTGGCCAAAATGTATTCAGTTATCTTTATAGTAAAAAAAAAATAACCCAAATTAGTTTATAACCAAAATTATAATTTTTACATTTTAAAAACATTTTTTTAATATTATTATTTGTTTTTGTATTTTTTTTAACATACTGTCACCCTAGCAGTACTACTTGTGTGGGGTGATGATTTTCTTTTTTACACTGATTGCTTTTACACCCATAAAGGCAGTAAAAGCAATAATTTCTCTTTTCTCTCTGGCTGCATTCTTGCAGCCATTGAGAAATACTGTGATTGGTCACAGCATGTCACATGGTACAAGGCTGTTGTGAATAGCCTTGTATCATGTGACCTCTGTGATCATTCACAGATTTCACACGTAGTAAGCAATGATGTCAGAAGTGACATCTTGCTTACTGCTCTACATGTGATCACTGATTGGCCAATCAGTGATCACATGATCGGGACCTAGCACAGAGGTCCCGTACGACGATCGGTGTTCCACTGTGTCTGGAGGACACAACGGGCACCGGATCGCGGTGCTGCACGCTCCCAGGGAGCACACACCAGCAGGGGGCGGGGAGGGCCGTTTATAAATGGCCACCGCCCCTGCACTGCCACCGTCCGGCCGTTTATATACTACGGCCAGACGGGAGTGGGGGTAAAGTTTATAGGTTTTCTTTAACATAATTAAAAAGCCTTTTTCTGCAAATAAATACCAACTAGGCAGGAATATTTATTTCACAATTCTTATTAAAGTTATTAAATGTATGCCACCTGCAAAGCAAGTGTCACAATATGATGTGTAGAAAGTTGTATGTATCCAAATGTATTTTGTATAAGAATGGTAGCTTGTATGAAAAGTCTAAAAAAAACGTAAACCCATGTGAAAGAAGAATGCCAACTGTTTCCAGGGCTAAAGGCTGCAAGCAGTTTCACTGTCCCAGGGGTCCTGAACATGATAGGCCATCGAGCAATAAATAACCGTATATGCCAAACTGTACAGACCAAAACTTTGAATATGGATTATTTAATGTAAATAAAGCTTAATGGCTTTTCTTTCATTCCTGCAAGAAAGATGAGAAAAAATGCCTCGGTCCACCAGGGAAATGTACTATAATTTAATGAAAACATCCTGGAGTGCTGAGCATTGTAATGGATGTTTAAGATGACTGGGTTTTCTTTCTTTCCCCTTGAGACCTTTAATTTTGTTGCTCATTTTAGTTTAAATCAGACACTGTCATTTTGTGCTACTTGTGTTGTTTTTTGTAGACCCTTGACCACAAGAATGTAGTAGAACCTCACTCATTACTAGCTATATAATTTCCCCAGTGAATGCTTGTTAATGAAAATCATTTTCACAGACTTTTCTTCCATTATATTGAGGGGAAACAAGGACATAGCAGAGTTAGCCACTGTCATTAGAAAAAACTGTATTTGGAAACCTGGCTTTTATTATGTAGTTGTCACAGAAAACAATGGTGAAATGGAATATAATAGGGGCAGCTTTGAATCACACAGCCATTATAAGCAACACATTTTTCAAATTAATTTCCAAATTTAAGAAACTGCTTCAATCATGTAAATAGGATTATTGACAGCTTGAAGGGAAATTAAAGCAAGCATTGTGAGTTGGGGGCTCTATAGTCAGAATATAGATATTACTTGCTAACACAGTCCAGCAAGATTACACTCCTTTATAGAGTTTTTCTGTGGAGACTATGGAGACATCATCTGATATATAAAGGCGGTTTGACTATTAAATTTGAGAATGTTATCCATTTATCTGCACATGTTTGGATAATTTAAGTGAATATTCACTCAATTTTATTGTGTGAATATTCTTAAATTAGGCTCAAACTGCAACAAGGGCAGCATTTTTGGGGTAAACTGCTTATTACAGTAGTTTTCAGCATTGTGCCAACAAAAAAATCAAATATTACTGATGTTTTCACATATTTTTACTTACCTGCTATCCATCCACGCCTATTTAGATGAAAGGTTCCTTTATAATGCGTTTCACTTGGCCTTAGGTAACAGTACAGCCACCCTACAGTGCATGCAAGAACTTGTTTTCATATTCAGACTAATCCTGCACCCTATGTAGAGCTAAACAAAAATGGCAACTTCACCAACTTATAACTAGCTTTTAGAGCACGGTGCATTCAAAATGCACGGCCACATCACTTAGTACAGAAAATAGTTTGTTTTGGCCAGCTTGCGTCTTAAGTCCAAGCTGTACACAGAGCATCAACTTTTTCCAAAATTCCGATTAAGCATTGCCCCCTACAATAAACCTCATCCCCTGCATTTTAGCTGTCAAATACCAGAGCCACAGTGGGCAGTAGAGCCTCTGGCATTAGATATTTGAATGAAAGGAGATGGTAATACATTGGATTCATTTGAGAACTAGGGGTCTTTTACTACCACTTTGTCAATGCTTACAAACAGGGAGAACTGTGTTACTCAGTCCTATATGTGCTCAATGCAGAACGGGAGTTCGTTATTCTTTTTATTTTTTATTTTTTTTTACATTAAAAACAATGCAATGCAATTTGAAAATCTCATAAACCCATATTTTATTCACAATGGAAAATAGAAAACATATTAAATGTTTAAACTAAGAAAATGAGTAGTAGAGAGTAATGTATTCTTGAAATTTAGGGCAGCAACACGTCTCAAAAAAAGTTGAGAAAGGGAAACAAAAAGCTGACAAAATTGTGGAACATTTTCAGAATAATGTTCCTCAATGTAAAATTGCAAAGACTTTAAATATATCATCATCTACAGTACATATCATCAAAAAATTCAGAGAATCTGGAGAAACCTCTGCGCTTAAGGGATGAGGTTGAAATGCAATATTGGATGCCTGTGATCGGATGCCACTACAATAAAAACAGGCATAATTATGTGATGGACATCACTGCATGGGCTCAGGAAGCTCAAAATTCATTGTCTGTGAATGCAGTTCGCCATGCCATCCAAAAATGCAGAGTAAAGCTCTCTCATGCAAAGCAGAAGCCATATTTGAACATGACTCAGAGACACTGTCCTTTTCTCTGGGCCAAATTTCATTTAAAATGGTCTGTTGCAAAGTGAAAAACTGTTCTGTGTTCAGACAAATTGAAATTTGACATTTTTTTTGGCATCCATGAGTGACGTGTCCTCCGGACTAAGGAGCATAGGGACCTTCTGGCTTATCAGCACTCAGTTTGAAAGCTAGCATCTTTGATGGTATGGGGGTGCATTAGTACATCTGAAATGGGCAGCTTGCATATCTGAAAAGGTACCAACAATGCTGAACGATATATCCAGGGTTTAGAGCAGCATATGCTCCAATCCAGATGACATTTTTTTCAAGGAAGGCCTTGCATACTTCAAGAGAACAATGCTAAACCTTGTACCGCATCTATGACAACAGTATCAGTATGGCCTCGAAGTAGAAGAGCTCAGGTGCCTAACTGGCCTGTCTGTAGTCCAAACCATTCACCAATTGAAAATATTTGGCCCATCTTGAAAAGCAAAATATGGCAAAGAAGACCCTGGACTGTTGAGCAGTTAGAATCCTATATCAGGCAGGAATGCGACAGCATTCCTCTCCCAAAATTCCAGCAACTGGTCTTCTCAGTTTCCAGACATTTACAGTGTGTTGTTAACAGAAGAGGGGTTGCTACACCATGGTATACATGGACCTGTCCCAACTTTTTTGAGACATGTTGCTGCCATTAATTTCAAAATTACCTTTTTTTTTTTAAATAAAAAACATTTTCTCAGTTTAAACAATTTATATGTTTTGAATTTTCTTTTGTGAATGAGCTTTGCAAATCATTGCTTTTGTTTTAACCGCTTACCCGCTGCTGTATAACAGATATACTGCTACATGGCGGAATGGGTGCATCAAATCACGTATGTTTACGTGATTTTGCATTTCCGGGTAGGGGGCGTGCGTGCCCTACCCACGCCGCCATTCGCAGCTGCGGATGTCAATCACCGGGTCCTAGCTGGTGATTACCCGCTGGCACCCAGTGATTACCAACAATCACTTACAATTACAAACAGTCTTCCTCCCTGTCAGCTTGGGCACACAGCCATCCTGATCTACTAAGTGTGCTTACAGTGAGCCCCTAGTAAAACACTCTCTACACACAGTTAACCCTTTGATCGCCCCTTATATTAACCTCTTCCTGCCCAGTGTCATTAGTACAGTGTCAGTGCTGTTTTTTAGCACTGATCACTGTATTGGTGTCACAAGTTACAAGTGGTTAGTAGTGTCACAAGTTAGTTCCCCCCCCCCAGTGTCAGATTGCCTGCCGCAGTCTCGCTAAACGTTGCTGATCGCTGCCATTACTAGTAGGAAAAAAAAAGTCCCAGTATCTATATCGCCATTTGTAAACGCTATAACTTTCACGCACTTAAAAACCCAAAAAAATTAAAAACCACACAGGTGAACAAATATCACCGAAAGAAAGCTCAATTCGTGAGAAAAGAAGGACGTAAATTTCATCTGGGTGTGGCGTTGCATGACTGTGCAATTGTAAGTTAAAGTAATGCAATGGCCTGGTCAGGAAGGGGGGACAATTAGTTTTCATTTGTATGGTATGTCGGACAGGTTTTACTAATTTGATAAAGTTGTTTATATACTTTTTTTATTTTATAACAATGTATTTTTCTCTCTCTTTTGTAGATGAAAACAATAGTGCCTTAGACTTTTCAGGTATGAGGTTAGTAAGCAGTTATATTTTCAACATTTCTTTCTGTTTCTTGTTTATTATCTACTCAATAGATTTTTTTTCTGATTTTTTTTTTTTTTTTTTTTTTTTTTCCCGATTTTGAAGAGGACCTGTATGGTAATTAAAGCTAATTTCCAGAAAAATGCAGCCCATAACTTGCATAACGCCAGAAACTGCCCCAATTTTTTATTTTTATTATCTCTTTTATTAAATATTTTCCACTACAAAAAAAGTACATCTAAAACACACAAGAGTAGGAAATAGAAAACTTCACCAAAACATACAATTCATCTAAATCAAACTTTTCCCCCGAAATATGTCACTGCAATAATTCCAGCAAGCTGAAAAAAATTGGCAACCATCATTTTATAACAAGTTGTTACAGTAGGGTGAACATGGAAGTGCTTTGTACACAATAAACAAAACAAAATGTATTTACCAGCACACTTACCAGCTAGCTAGCAAGACAAACAAATAAAAACTATAATTTAGTAAGCAGTTACTGGATAGTAACCCGTTATATTTTCATTTCTCTCTGTTTCTTGGTTTTGGAATGTTTTTTCTCTCTATTTGAAGAGGACTTGTATTGTGTTGCCAATAATTATTATAGTTGCTACTATTTTACAGGACACCAGCAGCAAGTCATTTTGCTTTGAAATCATTAGTAAAAAACTTAGGGCCATATTACAATTTCTGTTTCCTATACTGTAGGGGTTATGTATGAATACAATGGAAGTAGAAGTTTCTTCAGCACCTTTGTGGTTCCTGCCTGGTTGAACTCTGTTAGTGAATGAGCCTGCATTGTCAGGCATGTTTTTAATGTTACAGACAACATTTCAGCTAGTGTGTTGCTAAGCCATATTGTTCAGTGTAATATTTTTGAGACCAGAATTGGCAGAATATTAGGAATGTGTGCCATGGGATGATTTTTGGTGGCTTAAGGCAGGCTGGTCAAAGGTTGATCCAGTCTTGACTAAACTCATTACTTTATTGGCTGTACGAATATTGCCTGGTAACACAGCATTTTATTGTTGGTTATATACCAATGATAACTAGACTGAACCTCATTTATACAGATTAAGACTTGACCCAGGCAAGTCTTTTCTTACATCAGTCAGTCAGATTATATTTGTAAATTATATGTAGTGTGAACAAAAGAAGCCAACTGATATTGCTATTTTTCTTTTTTTTTTTTGGTGTTTCATTAGTAAGGTTTGACCTTTTCGAATGCACTATATCCATAGATATTTTCAGTAAGGTTCATGTTTGTGCAAGATTATTAACTTCCTTAAGGTCTTCTCATCATATCTTTTCAGTACTAATTTCATAAAGACTCACAAGTAACATTTCTGGACTTTTCTATTTAGCCCTCCTAGAGAAGAGCATGCAGATCATCTGTCGATTAATGACTCTCCTATAAGATCATTTGTGTCCATCTCGGAGGCTACAGACTGCCTGGTAGACTTCAAGAAGCAGTTCCGCTGTCTACCTACACATCAGTCAAACAAAAAAAGACCCAAGCAGAGAAGAAGAGGGAAGAGAAAAATGTGATTTTGTGAGCCTGCAACAAAAAATGCACTTGTGTTTTTGTAGGAAATTATATGGGAATGAGGTAACTTTAAAGTGTAAATCCCATCAAAACTTTCTCTTTTATACCATATTGATTGAGGAAAATTCAGAACCTATGCCAGGTGTTTACTGCTGTCTGTATATGAATTAGGAATATTCTCTTACCTTGGTGTCCCACTGGCATTGATCGTAGGTACAGGAAACAAGTGGAAATCTCCCCAATGTCAAGAATAGCTGGAGAGAAGTTGTAACCCTTATCAAAAACTAATACATGTTTTGGATGGAATTAAACTTTAAAACCCACCTTGCACTGTAAGACAGGTCATAGACTTTGCTTGATTCCCCCACCAACAAAGTCCATGTTAATGAGGCAATCCCTCCCACAGTGCTATTGTGTTCTGTCTGCAGGGGAGCCATTTCTCCCAGCAAAACACAATGGTTAGTCTTGCCAGCTATAGCTGGTGACACTAATCTTTTAGAAAAAACCCTACAGGCTGGTTTTACACAAATCGATTGATAGGGTGCCCATACATTGATCGAAATTTGACTGGTCCCTGCTGAACCGGCCAAACTTCGATCCATGCTTAAAGCCCAGCTACAGCAACCACCTTATTCTGAGTAGACTAGGAAAGATCAGAACCTCATATCAGGTTTTTATTACACACTGTGTCTCTGGGTTACAATAGGATGTGTGGGGAGACTGATAGCTTGAGATGGAAATCAATTAGAGAAACAAGACCTGAGGAAAACCACATAACATTTGTTACCATGGAGGACTAACATTTGTGACCATGGAGGACTTCCAATTTTCCCCCAGACCTCATCTGCATAATTTTTCTTTGTCTGTGATTCTGAAAGTATTGAAGCAGTTGTCACCTTATTTATGAGCTATACACTAGTTCTGGGTCTGTGACATTAAATCTATTCAGTCCCACTGAGTGAATTTCTGTACTGACACTGGTACTGTATGTAGTCCATAATTTAGCAATGGCAGCTTTCACCAGAGGCTTCTCAGGAAGGAGTTTGCTTTGTTACAAAATCCTTTACATTGACACTTCCCACTTATACTAAAACTTTCATTATTAGGGGAGCTAAGGATAGTGTCCTAACTGTCCTAGCATGGGTGTTACTGAAACAGCATGTTCGTCGTACACTTGAAAATGAAAGGTCTTCTTTATTCACAACCCCCACCCCCAAATACAAAATGGTTTAAAAAGCAATTTGGGAAAAAAGGTTGTACAAAAAAAAAAAGATTTTTTTTTCTCATCCATTGAGGGGCACAGAAAGTCTTAGACTGTCCTGTTATACTGCCACGCAGAGCAGACAAACAAAAAACATATCTACATTCCTATGCTTTGCTGTGGGGCCCTGGCCTTTGGCCACTTGTTTTTACCTCAGCTGCTCACCAAGTTCTAGTCCTAGTATTAGCCCTGCTGCACTCTCCTGGCATCCTCATTGTGAGATAGTTAAATGACCTCCTGTTGAGGGAACGGTAAGCGTGCTCTCTGCCTGTCAATGTGGCTTTCACCGTCCGGAAGTTACAGCAGTTTGGGTTGATCCGTCAGAAATTGTATTGTCGCTGGAACCAGCTCTTTGAGTATATCTGGATCTAGTCCTTGGGGGGGGGGGGGGTTTGGTTCCTACACTCTGAAATGTTCCAGGACCGGTGTTGCAGGTGGGGCATGCTGGATGTGTACCTCACAGATCCTCATTGCTCTAGACTGGACCAGGTGGAAGTAGTACACTGTTCTCATAGAACTCTTAGCACATGCTTCGTGGGCTCTTCCAGACTGTCAGGATATTTTGTCCCCAGGACCAATTTGCCATCCTGCTGCAAGATTGCTGGCTTTAATGGCTTTGCTGTTGGATCTCAAGTTTCAAGTGGCATCTCTGAATCTGCCCTGCCTACAATGCTAACAGCTAGGGAGGCTACTTCCTGTAAGGTTTATCACTGGAAGGCATATTCCACTTGGTGTGGATCTCCAGGCTTCCAATCCAGAAGTTCCTCCATGGGACGCATCCTCTTTTTCCTGCTGCTGGGTCCAGCATTTGGCTCTCAGCAAGGGACAGGTTTTTGTCCTGTTAATCTTGTTTCAGAGCCTGTTTGCCTTTCACTCCTTTTTTCAGACCTTTGTTCAGGAAGTCCTGTTCTTTCCTCTGTGACTCTCAAGGAACTGAATCTGGTGCTATCTGAACTTCAGAAACTGCCATTTAAACTCATTGGAAACATTCCCATCTCTCTACTTTCACCCTGATGGTGGTATTCTTTATAGCCCTCACCTTTGCAAGGGAAGTGTTTGAACTGGAGGCTTAGCCTGCAAGAACCCTTTTTAATTTTACATAGGAAGGTAGTGGTGAGGGCCAGGACTTCCTTTTTGCCTACGATAGTTCTGCCTTGCACCTCAATCTGGTTATTGTTCTATTCTTCCTCTATCTAAATCATACAAACTTATGTCCCCCCCTACTTCCCGTCAAGGTGTTCTCTACTAGATCTGTGAGTAATTCTTGCTCTTTCCAGCATCAAACCATTTTTCACAGTTTGCAGGGTCACCACCTGGTCTTCTTTTTTCGTTTTCAAAATACTTCCAAATGAATATTCATACCTCATCTGATGCCTGCTTCAGGAGTTAGATCCTTGCGCTCTTTGCGCTGTATGTAGTCCCCAGTTATTTCTGTTGGGTTTTTTTGTAAGTCTGTTTCTTTGTTGCTATGTTCCTCCTCACTCTGTTGGACTGCTTTTTAGACATCCCAACAGTCTAAGATTTCCAGTGTCCCTTAATAGATGGGAAAAAAAGTCCCTCCCCTCTGTGTTTATTTTCATGCTCTTGGTACTATGATGATGTTGTGGGCAGGGTTGTTCTTTGCTGGTCAACAGGTTTTTTTTTTTTTTTTTTTGTCAGTTTCCATTTCTACTGTAGGACACCATATACCCCAATAGTGTAAGAATTCCTGTGTCCCTCAATGGATTCCTTGAAAATAATTTTACAGTGAGTACAAAGGTTTATTCTCTCAGATTTGCCTCTAGTGCTTCCGGTCTGGGAGGCATGGGTGCTCCCACAAGAATGCTATCTTGTTATGAGCTAGAATGCATTCTTGTGGTATTTTGTGTCCAGCTCCCCCATAAGGCATGGTAAGGTCAGCTGAAAGTGTCCAAAGCCACACTGGGATAGTTTTTATTTTGTTTTGTTTTTTATCAGTGGCTTTTTTAAACAATCTGATTTTGGGATCTGTTTAGTGTGATGGAGTGTTGTGAGTAAAGTGGATCTTACATTTTGAAGGTCTTGTTTAATATCTCTGTGATGCAATAAATTATCGAAGTGTAGGTTTTTCTGTATGCAGATTTACATGATTTATGATTGCAGTAACAAATATGTAGATCTATGTGGAATATACCTATCTGTATAGGAGAATTATTGCCATCTTGTAATATATATTTAAGTATATATTTCTGTTTTTGTTAGAGCCATGTCATAAGAAAGGTATGAGCTTTCAGATTCAAGCTGAAGTATTCTACGCTTTTTTTTTGAAAGTGCCTTGATATGTATATATGTAATATATATAGTGGTATTTTATTTTTATTAATGTCAAACCTGGAATTATATTGTCACCTTAAATTTTTACATTTATGACATTGTATAGAAATAAGTGAAATACAATTAAACACCAGCTGTTTCATTTCAGCCCTTCTTGATTATTTTGGGCATCAGTGGCATCTGATGGGGGAAAGTTAGGGCGCATTCAGACCTTTTTGCTTAATATCTATCATGAGATATATAGTCATTGCCATTTGCTGATTGCCTTCTTAAAATGCTATACTGACTGCCTTTTGACTTCTTAGCTTTCAAGACTTTGAATTCACCAACCCAGAAAAAGTATGCAGAGTAGGAATTTTGACTTATTTGCAGAATGGTTTTTCCAGATCTGTAGCTTATAACTAACTGAAGCCAGAATACAGCATTTTGAGAAGGAGGTCAGCAATGGCAGTTTCATTCCTTCATGATAGATGTACCTTGCAATGATCAGTATTGATAAAATTCCATGGTTTCTAGTTTGCGTTTTTGATAAGATTGACTGTCACTACATCCTTTGCAGACCACATTCGGACTGCTATAAACAGAGATTGGTAGACAATCAGCAAACCTGTCACTGGACCATTGTTGATACAGTCATGGCCGAAATTGTTGGCACCCTTGATATTTCTCCAGGAAATCATGTATTTCTCACGAAACGTATTGCATTAACACATGTTTTGCTATACACATGTTTATTCCCTTTGTGTGTATTGGGACAAAACAAAAAAAGGGAGGAAAGAAAGCAAATTCGACATAATGTCACACAAACCTCCAAAAAATGGGCTGGACAAAAGTATTGGCACCCTTTCACAACTGCGGATAAATAAGAATGTTACAAGCATGTGATGCTCCTGTAAACTCACCTGGGGCAAGTAACAGGTGTGGGCAATATAGAAATCACACCTGAAAGCAGATAAAAAGGAGAGACGTTCACTTAACCTTTGCATTGTGTGTCTGTCTGTGCCACACTAAGCATGGACAACAGAAAGAGGAGACGAGAACTGTCTGAGGACCTGAGAACCAAAATTGTGGCAAAATATCAACAATCTCAAGGTTACAAGTCCATCTCCAGAGAACTAGATTTGCCTTTGTCCACAGTGCGCAACATTATCAAGAAGTTTGCAACCCATGGCATGTAGTAGCTAATCTCCCTGGTCGTGGACGGATGAGGAAAATTGATGAAAGATTGCAACGCAGAATAGTCCGGATGGTGGATAAGCAGCCCCAAACATTTTCCAAAGACATTCAAGCTGTCCTGCAGGCTCAGGGAGCATCAGTGTCAGCGCGAACTATCCGTCGACATTTAAATGAAATGAAACGCTATGGCAGGAGACCCAGGAGGACCCCACTGCTGACACAGAGACATAAAAAAGCAAGACTACAGTTTGCCAAAATGTACTTGAGTAAGCC